CCAGCGTATCTTTGACTTTAACATCTTCTCTGTTTGGTTTCTGTTCTTTACTCTTATCACATTTGGCTTTAACTGGTAAAACCGGATTTGTTAGATCTGTTGGGACAAATCCTCCGTTGACTTTTTGCTTCTGCAAAAGTCCTTTGGAAGGATTTTTACAGTCTTAGAAAAGACACAGAATCATTTAGCTTTAAGTTGTATCTAGCAGCTTTTTTTACCCTTTTATTTTAGTGTCTCAGTCAAAAATAATTTCTTTAAATGAGAATATTCCTTGTTGTCCGGAAGCTTTCAGAGGGAGGATTGGAGTCACTGGTTTATCAGATAAATTTAAAAAGAATACCAAAATAAAATAAAGGTTATTTGAAAGAGGGATGATGAAATAATTGGCCAGAGTTCTGAACAGGAAGCAGGAAATGACTCTAGATGTGGAAGTGGGAATCTTCTGGGTTTCAAACAGTAGATCTTTAGTTCAGGATGTGAAATCTACAGTCAGATTTAACCCTTTAAAGCCCGGTACAAGAAAAATAGGAAGAATTTTTTATTTTTTTAGTCTGAAGTCTTTCTGAAGTCTTTTCTTGTAAAAGCACAAAAACAGCTTTAAAAACCCCAAAAAACAGCTTTAAATGCCCTAAAAAAACAGCTTTAAAAGCACAAAAACAGTTTTAAAAGCCCCAAAAACAGCTTTAACCCTTTAAAGCCTGATCCAAGAAAATTTTGAAGAATATTGGATTTCTTTAGTCTGAAGTCTTTCTTTGGCCCCTCAACAACATATGAAGAAAAAAAACAGAAATGATTTTGATCAAATTAGCGTGCAATAAGTCATAAATCTATGTTGGTGTAGTCTTCTACTGGCTGTTATCAGGAATATCTGAATGTGTACAACAGGGGTTTGAGCAAAGCTTTTACCACTGAATGATGCAGAAAGTCTCACATCCAAAAGAAACCAGATCAGATATGACACATTTGGCTTTAGAGGGTTAAGACCCCCAAAACAGCTTTAAAAGCCCCCAAAAATAACTTTAAAAGCCCCAAAAACAGCTTTAAAAGCACAAAAACGGCTTTAAAAGCCCAAAAAACAGCTTTAAAAGCACAAAAACTGTTTTAAAAGCCCCCAAAAAACAGCTTTAAAAGCACAAAAAGAAGCTTTAAATAGGAACAATTCAAATGTATTATTTTTCAAATTCAGTCAACCTCAAATTGTGGTAAAAAACAAAAACAACCTCCACACAACACTGTGTTTGTTTTTGGGTTTAGTAAAAAACACAAAAACAGTTTTATTGCCATTTGTCATTTTGTCTTTTTCCCTTTTACAATTTACATTTATAATCAAATCACACAATTTCTTAGAAGGCACTTTTTCTTTGTTACACAATTTTCAAACCTCACGGTTACATAAAAGAAGGTTTTTCTGTGGAAGAATTCCATCTTTTCATCAACTTAAATAATACAAAAGATTACCGTGGACATAATGTTTGACTTAATACTCAATATTCAAATAGTAGAGTCATTTTTACATGTAATTGCTTTATTCTGATTCCTGTTCTGGTTGCTGAGCTGAGCTTTTAAAGATTTAGATTTGAATGTGCAAAAGAGAAAAGTCAGATAAAGTCTAGATGTGTTTCAGTTATTGGTGTGAAACTGTGGAATGAATTAAATGATGAATTTAAGTTATGTCCTTTCTTGGTGAACTTTAAAAGAGCTTTAAAATGTAAAATGATAAAATCTTACGCTGTTATGTAGATCTATATCTGTACTATGTACTTGAATCTGAATTTGAAGAAATCCTGGTAGGTTGTAAGGTAAAAAATAGGGCAAGAATAAGCTTTGCTTCGGCCTATTCCTTTTTTTTTCGTAAACTGTGGGTTTGTCTATTGTTTTTTTTTCTTTTTTTTCCTTTTGTTGTTTCTTGTGTTTAATGTGGACAATTGACCAAAATAAAGACAAGTGAAGTGATAAAACAATCATCCATTTAGCTTCCTCTCATTTGGGGGCAGCCATGCAAACTGGGCCACCAAGCGGGGAATAATTGGGCGTGCAATTATGAAAAGTCAAAAATGTAAATTAAGTTGTGCAGCAGGTCAAGACGACGTCTGGACACTTGACCTATTTTCCGTCCTTTTACGGCTCATTTCTTACAGACTCTTTTCTTTCCTCTGGGATTAACACATTAATTCTAACAGTCTAAGAGCCCGAGGATTAAACCATAAACCATCGAGACTCCGGCAAAGTGGGAAAAAAACAAACGGAGTAATCCACAGGTCAGATTTGACCCGGTGATCTGTAGAAATGGAAACAGAACGCGGTAATCTTTCGGTTTGCACCTCTGAGGGATTCTGGCGGCTTCTTTTGTCTGGAAGACGTGACCTTTGACCTCGTTTTTTGTGCTCAGACACAGGCTGCCCCTGTGAGTTAGCCTTAAAAATCATCCACTGACGGTCAAAAATTAACAGTTTATAACTGCAAAAATATTCGAGAGGCAAAAATCACTCAAAAATGAACAATTTAACTGCTAAAATATTTGGGAAGCTGTTTGATAAGCAAACAAATACAGAATTAAACAGTTTAAAAAGAATAAAACGGAATAAAACTGACTCCAGATAGCCTTATTTCGGCTTCCTGAGGAAGCCTGTTGATCAGAATCAGAAATACTTTATTTTAATTTATAAATTTTTTTACTTATCTTTACAGATCCAGATTTCTTAATATAAGCCTCTGTGAGTTAGCCTTAAAAATCACCCACCGACGGTCAAAAATCAACAATTTAACCACAAAAAAACAGTTTAAATGGATGAAACTGACCATATTTGACTCCAGATAGCCTAACCCGGTGACCAGAATCTGTCCTTTGACAAAAAAGAAAGTAAATTTATAAAATTCCTGTCTCAGAATTATGTAGGAAAAAAAAACTTGGCTATGGATTTCTTACCTCAAAATTAGATTATATTAAGGTTTTTCTGAAAATCCTTCAGCGGATTCAAATAAAGCAGAGATTTTGTTCTCTCTATTAATTTTTTTAATTAATTTTCCAGTTTTCTGTCTTAATTGAATCACTTTTATATTTTGGGATTGACTTTAAATTGATTAAATTGAGACCACAGTTGCTAAATGCCTGTTTCCTTTGGTCTGATTCTACTGGAGAGCTCAGATCTTTTCAAATTGGGTTCTTTGGCTACTAAATTGAATTTGTTTAGACTTGAATATTAAAAAAGTGGCTAACTCTGTGAGTTAGCCTTAAAAATCATCCACCAACGGTCAAAAATGAACAATTTAACTGTAAATATATTTAAAAGGCTGTTTGATAAGCAAACAAATACAGAATTAAACGGTTTAAAATGATAAAAATGACTATATTTGACTCCAGATAGTGTTACCTGGTGCCCAGAATCTGTCCTTTGACTAAAAATAGAGCAGATTTATAAACTTCCTGTCTCAGAATTATGTAGATTAAAAAACTTGGCAATCAATTTCTTACATCAAGATTGGACTGTTAAATTTAAATTTAAAGTTTTCCAGAAAATCCCTCAGCGGATTCAAATAAAGCCTTAAAGATTTTGTTCTCACTATTAGGAAATATTTTAATTTTCCAGTTTTGTGTCTTCATTGAATCACTTTTCCTTGGCTACTAAATTGAATTTGTTTAGACTTGAATATTAAAAAAAGTGGCTAACTCTGTGAGTTAGCCTTAAAAATCATCCACCGACGGTCAAAAATGAACTATTTAACCGTAAAAATATTTAGGAGGCTGCTTGATAAGCAAACAAATACAGAATAAAACAGTTTAAAAGGATGAAACCGACTGTATTTGACTCCAGATAGCTTTACCTGGTGACCAGAATCTGTCCTTTGACTAAAAAAATACCAAATTTATAAAATTCCTGTCTCAGATTTATGTAGGAAAAAAACTTGGCAATGGATTTTTTTCTTTATATTAAAGTTTTTCTGAAAATCCCTCAGCGGATTCAAATAAAGCAGATATTCTGTTCTCACTATTATTATTATTTATTTATTTTTTATTTTCCAGTTTTTTATGTAGAATTATGTAGAAAAAAAACTTGGCTATAGATTTCTTACTTCAAGATTGGACTGTTAAATTCCTTTATATTAAAGTAGATTCAAATAAAGCAGAGATTTTGTACTCACTACTAATTTGGGTTTTTTATTTATCCAACTTTCCTGGGTTGGCATTGAATGAATTGGACTAAATTGAATTTGTTTTGACTTGAATATTAAAAAAGCAGCTTATTATCCCTCAGAATTTCATTTAATTTCTGTGATATGTTGAATGACAGTCAGCAGAATGAGACCATCCATCAACAATCCTATTAGAGACTCAAAAGTATTACAGAGTCAAACATACAAACAAAATAACAGGCCTTTTCTTCCTTTTCCTTTATTCATCTCTTTTCTTTTTCATTTGTATTCATTAAACCCCGAAACTAAAAATCCATAAGTTTACTATCAAACTATAATCAAACATGACTCAGCATAAATCTGACAAATCCAAATGATGTTTTCTCCAGCTAAAAAAACTAGCATAAAACCATTTGTATGCGCTATGAAAATGCTAATATCAAAATCTAAAAGTATAAATATAAATTTGGTACGTCAAAGTATTTACTATGAAAATGCTCACATGAGATTATTATTAATATTTAATTAGTCCCAGTTCTTCTTTATATATTCAGATTAATTATAGTGCTAGTGCTAATTTTGAAATGGTAAATGGTACAGCAAAAAAAAAAAGCTTTATATAAAACAAATTAAAGTTTCATTTATGAAAGAGGCATCTTTTCTCTAGTTTTCCCAATTTGGTTTGGTGCCACGGATACAAAATTAGAAATATACCAAAACAAAACGTCATAAGCCAGGAAAATATATAAAAACTGGACTATTAAACAGCTTTTCCAAAGTTAGAAACATAAGATAAAGAATACAACGACAAATACTAAACAGCTATCAGATCCATTCCCCCAAAAAAATGTCTTTAAAACCAAAAAGCCAAAGTTTAACATGAAGTGCTCTAAAAAATATGTTCCTGTTTGACCAAACAGGAAGTTTGGCAGAGTATAGCTTGTTTTTTTCTTCTTTTTATTGGGTTTATACCAGAGACTGGAGGCTGGTTCCTTCCTCTGCTGAGATCTGGACCTGGACCTCTTTATTATCCGCCCGCCTGGTCACCAAAACCAGCACGGCTTTGTACAGGAACTGGTACTGCTCCTAAACAAAAAAAACACCATATTTAGATTGTTATGATTCTTCTAACGAAGCATTTTTCAACCTTTTTTGAGCCAAGGTACATTTTTTCATAGAAAAAATCACGAGGATCGCCACCAACCAAAAATGTCAAACAAATCTGTATCCGCCTATAGTAACACTATAGTTATTCTTATTTTATCTTATCTTATCTTAAGTGTCTTGAATAGGAATCAAATAAACACAAAAATGTATTTTTATCATATTTCATATTTCAAATTTTTCTTAACATGTCCACTTCAATATCCAAAATTATATACAAAATCTATTCATAAGGAATTATTACATGATTACTCCACCAGTCACTAGAACAGCACACACACTCAGAAATGGAATATTATTTGCAGATAATTAATTCCTTATCAAACAATCTTTTTAGACCAGTGAGGTGAAATAGGATGATTTTCTACAGCACACTAGTGTACCGAGGACCAGGGGTTGAAAAACACTCTTCTAACGGGACATTTTTGCAGACAGATCATTAAAAAAACAAAAACTTTGTCACAAATACTTGTGAATATGAACATTTCTCCATGTTATTTAGTTCTCACTATTTAGGCCCAGGAGCCACAATTACATTGTTTGAGAACCAAACACTAAAGATCTCATGATACTTCATTTTTAGATGTTTTAAGATAATATATTAATCATTTTATTAATATAAAATATTATATTTTGCCCAATGCTTCCATTAATGATGATTACTGTGATTTGTCTGGTTTAAATCAGAGCTGTGACTTTAAAGTTAATTAAATTAAATTAAATTAAATTAAATTAAATTAAATGTAATTAAATTTAATTTATTTGGAAACATGATATGATTTAACAATGTTTACATTGAATGCTTCATAAACATGCATCATGTTTCAAAAAGGAGCTTAATAATAAGCTTAATAATCTTTTTAAGCCCCACCCCTCAGTCACATGTGTCATGGTGGTAAAGGACAATTATTTACAGTAATATAACAGTATACCAACTTTTTATATATTACTCTTTTTTGAATTCATCAAAATTCACCCTGAGCCATTGTTCTGCTCCAGGTTTCTGCCTGTTAAAGGAAGTTGTTCCTTGCCTGTGTCGCCTAGTGCTTGCTCATGGTGGGAATTGTTGGGTTTCTGTAGTTAACTTCAGAGTAGGTCTGAGCTGCTCTGTTTGGAAAGATAAGTGTTGTTGTGATGTGGTGTTATAGAAATTAAATTTAATTGAAATGAATATTCTTTTTTGAATTGCTGGATGCTTTTACATTGTTTAATGTTTTCACTCCCATAACTGATAAACTAAAGCTTCTTTTGGTTGTTCCAACATACTTAGTTTTGAAATTTAATTTTCCTCTTATATGATATTATATGATATTATATGATATTATATGATATTATATTATATTAT